AGCTGGCGCAGTGACAAGAGGAGTGGGGGGAGCGGAAGGGAGGATCCGTTTCACGGGTCGTGGAGCGGAGATATCGACGAGAACCGGTTGCTTTTCGAATAGCGAAGCCACAAAGAGCCAGCTGAAGATTCAATGTTAGAACTTATTGGTGATACCGCACATGGAATTCAAGAGTGGTATGGCTTACTGGTTAAATGGGTGCAATTCCGCAATGTATACAGGGGCTTCGAATCTCACGGTCCGCACCCGGGAGCCATCTTTCATATCCCATAATACACACTTCCAATCCTGTGAGGAGCTGAGTAGATATCTACCACATCTCGACCAGCTGATGCTCGTTAGCCTCAAGCTTTCCACATATTCCAAATGAACATATTTACACTGGACGGAAAAAGCAAACCTCAGACTCTGAATCTGTTTGCTGTGTCCTCGTAGCTTTCGAGCTACGCCATTGGTTTCCACGTCAAATATCACGATCGTGCCATCGACCTGTGGTTATCAGGTTAGTTGCTGAATTGAATGATCGATCGGTTGATATTGAAGAAGCTTACTCGTCCAGAAGCCAAGTAGTCACCCTTACGGTTGAACCTTAAGCAAGTAGCATGTCCGCAGCCTGTATTAGAATGCCATTGTCAGTTAATGTAGATATATATGTATGTGAGAAGCAATAAGCACGCACGAAGCTTGCCGGTAAGGGCATCTGGGTAATCTTGAGCAAGGACAAACGGATCGATCAAGGCGAGATTCATGGTGGCTCGCGGTGCAAAATAAAGTGGTTATATGCAGAAAGACTCATTGAGGACATTGGAGTGCAGCACTCTGAGGATCACTGAGCCGCTGGCGTGGTCCCCTTGCCGGCTTCATTGTTGCTTGTAATCTAATCTTGACATTAATATTTAGTTAGTTACGGTTTAACTTTTGAAGTTTGCTCTGATGCTGGAAATTAGTCATCCATCTGGGTGGCTGGGGCAGCAAAATTTCTTGCACCAGTCTCAAAGGGGAATAGTTCCCCAGCCTAGCCATTAAAATTCACTCAACTTATGGCAACTATTACCCGAGTAAGCCATCAGTGTGCCCAGATTGTGTGGGACATTCACTAGTGTCGGTGAGTAATAGTTGGTCAGTTGTCTGGTGCGACCATGCGGCTCTGAGAAAAAAGTCGGGCTAAAACCCAGAGTCGATCGCAAGTGAGGCAACTCTCAACACAACCTCCGTTCATCACCCCGACACCACCCCAACCATCAACTCCACACGGAGCATATCGCATTTCGCATCGCGATATCTCTTTTGACGTTTCCTAATACGATATTTCCAGTGACTCAGCACCTTTATACCCCGAAATCACGTCTGAAGAGAGTTGGAAAGGTCAAAGGCGCCCTCGCGGCAGGGTCTGCCATAGGCCGGCGAAGGCCAGCCATCACGGTCATTTTGACATTATCTCGGGTTATCTGTTTAGTTTTTCGTGGAGTATCGTTTTACTGCTCCATTGAATAATAACCCGCCTTTGACTTGTGTTGCAATACCTATTTCCCTACATACCTGCCACGGTTTTCTTTTCGGTCGCCATCACGTCTCTCAATCGACTGCAATCATGGCATCTGTCAAATTCCCTTACTCGAAGGCGCAGTTGCGCACAATAAAGGAGATACAGTTTGGCCTTCTTTCGCCGGAGGAGATCAAAAGGATGAGCGTTGTCCATGTTGAGTACCCGGAGACTATGGTATGTGCACCAAGAAACAACCGTTGTTTGGTCACCTTTTCGTGAACAGAAACTAATGGGTGCTTCCGCAATAGGATGAGCAACGACAACGCCCACGAGAGAAAGGTCTAAACGACCCTCGTCTTGGCACCATTTGATCGAAACTGGCGCTGCGCTACCTGTGAAGAGGGGATCAATGA